GGTGTGGGTGCGATCTTTAATAAAGCCCACACCCACACCCACACCCATACCCACACCCACACCCACACACCCCACCCACACCCCACACCCAAGATTAGACTATGAATATAAGGAAAAAGTAGATTAATATCAATATATTGATTATCTTCGGAAATAGTACGTTGAAGATTATTGAGAGATTGTATTAAAGTATGAAAACGAAAATTGAGATTATAAAATGATTGAAAAATATCTGAAGTATTTAAATATTTGAATATATTGATTAGGATTTCATTTGATAATGATTCAAGTGTTAAGAAATTTTCATTCATGAGTAACAATAATCTACAAAAAGAAAAGAAGTAAATATTAATTTTCTTTTTGAGAGTTCTATCTAAACAAACTCATTTTATGCTTAGTAAATGAAAGAAAATGATAAAGATTTTCTAAGAATGAGTTTGTAATATTGTTACGATATTAAATATTCTAATATGATATCTAATCGAATTAGTATTTGTTGATTAATATTATTTAAATGAAGTCAATATTAATTACTAATTGAATAGGTCTATTTGAGGAAAAAAAACAGATAAGGTAGCTTCAGTTCATACCATTTAAGATACAGAAAAAAGATTTAAAATAGTTGATGATGCATTGAAGTTTCTAAAATTCGAAAACAATCAATCATGAATATCAATATAGTAGAAAAAAACACTGATGAATAAATCATTCAAAAATTATTTTAAATGAGTAAACATCTCGAAAAATTTAAGAAGAATCAATTGTAAGTCGAATTCCATATCGATTTTTATGAATATTCATTTTCATTCTAACTGATTGAAGCTAATCATAATTGAAAATAAAGTTTAATATCCTGGAAAAATTATCAAGTCAATAAATAATCAATTGTTCCAAATTAGGTGCACATGTAAAAATTGTACTAATCATTTTATCATTTCAAGGTCAGATATAATATCCAATGACATGTATCATTTGTTCTCGATTAGATATATAATCAAGTATTCATTGGGCGTCGATCTAATGTTAAAAGACTAAATTTAAACAGAAATAAATTTAGACATGTAGAAAGAGCAACACTATAAAATTGTAAATTAATCAATTTAATTTTTTAAATATGTAATACTAGTAATTGTGTTTATACTTCAAAAGAGATGTTCTAAACAAGAAATCGTTTCATTGATTATTTTGTCTAGTTATTTATCAAGACGAGTATTTAGAAAACGATGAGAATTTGTAATAAACAAAGAGTTAATGATTCGTGTATAAATAAATAAACAAAACTGATCATTCTCATTGATAGTTATATCATCTTTGACCTTCAAAAAAACAAATAAGTTGAAATTGATGAAATAATTGAAGTAAGTTTATTAAAACGAGAATCAAAATTGTAAAAAGCTAGAAAAATAAAATCGTGAGCATTGAAAAGTTTGCAAATTTTTAATATTTCGTAAATTTTCCAATCGATATAATTTTTTTTTCTATATGTACAACTCAAAAACACAAAAAACAAACTTCATACATATAATAATGAAAGAATTATTTAAATGTAATAAGATTGTATCTCTCTACAAATAATTATGAAAAAACGATAAGACTGATGTTAATTTAAATTATTCGAGATAGTCTAATGACTGTTCTATAAAGATGCTTTCTTTTGACGTTATGTATATGTCAGCGTCCAAACTGAGATTACGTCCAATCTCAGATTGGCCTAGGCAAATGTTGGATCCGAGATTGGACGCGTCCAATCTCGGATTGACGCAATTCTGTTCATTAAAATATCAATTAACCTGTAGACAGGCCTTGGATTCGAACTATTTTTTTTTGAGTTATGTTCACACGATGCCAGTTTGTTTGGCACAATTGCCATTTGACAAATTTGAATAAAATTTTAGGGGTTATGAATAAATTTCTAGAGAACAAGAACTTTTGTGAAAAACTTTTATTACATTTTTGAGTCTAAATTTAGCTTCTTCCTAAATGCTTGTAATACTTAAAACGGCATTGTGTGAACATAATTTCAAAAAATAGGTCGAATCCAAGGTCTGTCTAAAGGGTAATTGATATTTTAATGAACAGAATTTCGTCAATCCGAGATTGGACGTAATCTCAGTTTGGACGCTGACATATACAAATCTTCTATTGCTTAAAATCATATTCAATCTTGGTTACAGAGGGCATAGAAAGACATGGCGCTGGATATTAATGTAAGTTGATTGTGTTAAATGAAAGATTATATTAAATTATGAAATAACATATTTCTTAGCAATATGTTAAAATCGAATATTAATATTTATCGTTATATTTTACAAATAAGAGTGTGGGTGTGCATGAATACAAGACTCCGACATTCACCCACACCCACCCAGTATAGGCTATTTTCATAGATGGTAATGCATGAAGTTCAGCGGATGTCACCAATAAAAGCATCGAAGGTACTCACAATTGCCGGTTGAATCGAACTGTCTCTGTACTCAACAATCGGTCATAAAAAAATTCAAATTCATTTGATGTCTGTTGTGGGTGTGGATGTGAGCCTCCGCTTCATCCACACCCATCTGGGTGTACAATAGACAATTTCATTATGATAGGTCAGTTGTTCTTTATTAAAAAGTCTGGTTTGTGTGACTAAATATAATACATATAATGCTGTTAGGATAAAGTAAATTTAAATAATATACTTTTTGAAATCTGAATAAACAGTTGAAGAAAATTATTCAAGAGATTTTATTCACAGTCAAAAGCGACTAGTAATAATTCTCTATTTCATACGTAGAAAACAAGTACAATATAGACTAATAAGCTACAGTTCAGCTAATATTAACTTAAAACTCACTTCATACAAATAATTTTTTGAATGAGAAAGAGTACTTTAACGGTAGACATAAGTAGATATCAACGAAGTGGACTATTTGAATTATTTTATTTCAACTAGATTTTGGAACTTAACAATCTTCCATGTATAGAATTATTGATATATTTTTCTATCATGTTCTCCTTATATTTATTGGTGTTTCTCGATATTGAATGAATTACACTATAATAGATCTTCGATAAAAGAAAATTGGCCATGTAATGTTGATGATTACATTTTATAATTCACACGTGTTATTGAAACAACGCAAAAGAACTTCCATTTAGAGATAATTCAATATCATTTATTTAAATGTTTATCATTAGCATGAATCAAAAGAGATAAACAAAATATATCGAAATAAAATTTGTTAGTGAGGAGGACAAACGAATTGATTGTGACATATAGAGTACACTTTTAGTTCATTTCTGTGCATGTGTCTATGTCCTGTATCTTCACAACAGTGCAACAACAATTCATACGGTACAACAAAATGAAGAAAATCCATACGAGGACATACATATAGAATGAACAAGAAAAGAAGGTTTATAAAACAAGTAAAAAAAAAACTAAGAGGAAAAGAAAAATCTATGACACATGACTAACAAAAGAAGAATGTAAGTACACGTGCATAATGATATAGATGATCGCATCTATAGAAAATGCACTTAGCAACATTGATTTAATTGTATTGCGTAAACATCGAAAGTTCCTTCTAATGTTTGAAACAATCTAACAGATTATTTCTTTAATAGTGATATTCAGGATTTCTTAATTATGAATCCATCTCTTTCTGTTATTATTCTTTAGATGACATCTCAACAAAAAATTTTATCTTCTGATCGTATTCTTAGCATACCTAGAGTCGACATTGATGATCTCGAATGTTCTATTTGTCGTGGATTACTTTGGAAACCAGTTGCCTGTCAATCATGTGAAACACCTTTCTGTTCCTCATGTATTCATCAATGGTTAGTCGATCATCCAAAACATTGTCCAAATCGGTGTGAAACATACATTGAACGAAAATGTCCTCCATTTGTTGCTAAACTACTTGCTCAATTAAATATGCATTGTTTCTACCGATCTTATGGCTGTAATCAAGTGCGTAGATGGTGATCACTTTTTCAACTCTATACTTTCTTTTTATAGGTTACTTCATATGAAGGATTAGATAAACATGAGATTGAATGTGGTTTTCAGCCTCGCCAGTGTCCTGGTTGTAAATCACAAATATTGAAAAAAGATTTTGATAACCATACGAGCACTTGTCCATCAATTGAATTAACTTGTCAAAATTGCAAGCTCGTATTCAAAAGAGCTGATCTTAATCAAAAACATACAGAAATTATCTGCTTAAAAGAACAAATTCGACAACTTCAATATGAATCGAAAGAATATAAACGTGAGATACACGAACTCAATCTTCAATTAGATGAAATGCGCATAATGAGTAAGTGAATAATTAGATATGGTTTTTACTAAAGACATCGAAATAATAATGAGTTTAGATCCAAGCATAACAGAAACCAAAATTACATTTAATGATTTACAAGGTACAGCCGACAATTGTTATCGTATTCCAGCTCAATATCGAGGATTAGAATGGACTGGTATGAATTACATTCATAAATCGTTTGCAATCAAAAATCATCCAACAAGTGGATATGCAACATCCTTCATGCCCAATGGTAGTTCGTACATAGCATATTTCAGGGGTGAGGCATCAGTGAGTGTCAAAAATCCGGATGAAATATTTACTCTTTTTTCTGTCACTGCATGTGCTGCTTGGAACGATAATCTACAACTAATCATTACAGGTTATCGAGATGTCTTAGAGATCAAGAAACATACAGTGACACTTCTCTTTGGTAAACCACAATTTATTCTCCTTCATTGGGAAGACATAGACAAGGTCACTTTTGTATCATCTGGTGGTACTGCTCATCCTGGTAGCGGCAGTGCGACAGGACCTCAAGTTATATTAACTCAAATAACCATGGATTCACTCGAATAAGAATTGAAGCTGATCGTACACTAAAACATTTTGATGCAAACATTTCACCATTTCTTTTCTATTGTTATAGGTGATTTTCTGACGGGTGATAATTGCTGATCATCTGACAGAAAATTCATGGCGATTATTCTTTATTTGTGATTCTTTTTTTTTGGTTTTAGTGCATACATAAATATAAGGAAACATCTCAGTATATAACACTCAAATAAAGAAATATTTAAACCCTGTGAAAACCAATGGCGTCTATATACGATTTGAAAATTCCAACAGAAGTTGAAAGTATTTGAATTTGTTAGAATAGATTTTATGATTGTTTTGCTTCCTTTTTTATTTCAAAGTTCTCTATTTGTGTCGTTCCAGTAAGAGCAAATATTATAATTATGATAGTTAATACTTTTCGGATTACAACTGATTCTGACCTTACAGTTCTGCTTGTTTTACTGAAAAAAAAAGTCGGTTCTCAAAGGGTCAACATGCGATACATAAACATTTGGTGATTTTAGTATACACTCCTATTGAGAAAAAGTACAATTATTACATAAGAACATAGTTTTCATTTTTGTGGTTATTATGGAAAAAAATTGCATTTTTATTGCTGTATATCAAATTACACGACTCTATTTTAGAAAATATTTTCTTTGTTTTTAGTACGTTTTAGGTAGATGTCTTTTCAAAATGAATAAAATCATCATATCTTTGAATGATATGAAAGCAGATAATAATTATAATATTAATCTAAATAATTATATTTGATTATTCACTAATTGATATATTTATATATTTTCATATAAATAAAAACTTTAGTATTTACGTTGTATTCTGATTCGTATGTAAATTTTTGAACTGAACTAATTCTTTTGTAATGTCTCTATGTTCAAGTTTGATATAATTCTTTTGAAAAAAACTTTTTCTTTGGAATTTATACTTATTTTATTTTGACTTAACGTTCGAAACTCCAACAATAGTCTTCTTCACAAGAAAATTAACAAATTTTAAAACAATATTTCTTTATACCGCTAGATAAAAGCTATTATTCAATTGTTTCTTTATTAGTGGTTTCAACAATAAAAAATTCATTTTTATTGTTGTCTCTTATTACCGTCTGCTCGATATCAGTATTAAATACATAAAAAAGAGAAGTAATCGAATGAAAATAAATATCTGCATGTATAAAGAAACACAGATTTGACATCTGTAGATCTTATCGCAAAGAGGGAGGGTATATTACAATAGAGTACGAATTTAACGAAAAAGAAAATGTCGACAGTTTAACTTAATTCTTCTTTTTTATCTAGAAGTTTACATCACTGGCTGTTGTATTTAATTGTTTCACAAAGACTCGTGCTTGTTTTTCGGTATCATTCTGAATTTCTTGTTAGTGCATCAGAAACGCATGAAATTTTATAGATTGATTTTAAAAGGCGAGAATTTACAGTGTTGGTTCACTATAATGCTGTTTTTTTTCTGACTAGGATAATGTGAGTATGACAATATGTTCAATGAACAGTGAATCCAGATACTCACATTCTCAAGCAGATTAATCACGCAGGTGTGGGTGTTTATTCTGTTGTACGCACACGGACACCCACATCTCGCACCCACACTCACATCCCACCCTCAAGAAATATAAGCTTCTAAAAAGATATTTTCCCGACGAGAAAAATCGTAGGAGAATCCTTGGGCTCAGAGGAGCTTTTGCGTAAGTGTTGTGTTCGACTTACCGACATATATCAGACTGAATTCAAATTATAGAAGATCAAAGAAAATTTGCAAATTTGTTGTTGTGAGTTCATTGTTTTAATCGCTAGTGAATTCTCTTTTATTTTAATGATTCTTCTCACTCTTTGATAAGCAAAAGAGTATAGATATGTTGATTCGTCTTGCTAATGAATATACCTATTACTGAATTGTGTTTTTTCGTAGTAATGAAAATTTCTAGAGACATTTCTTAATTAAATTTTCACCAATAGAAGGTTATCTTCTAAATTAATAGAAGTTTCTATTTGTAATTTAATGTGAAATACCTGAAATACAACTTTGCTGAGTATGAAATTTTTTCGTAGTCGATCATGAAAATTTACA